ACCAACGGCTGGTAAAAAATAGTAGGTAAAAATTTGAAGATTAAGAGGATACGTGCATAATATCTAATAATTCTCTGCAAGATAGCTTTTAATTTCAGAGGATGAAATGGCAACTTTTACGGTAGAGCATGTTGATAGGCCTCACATCAAAATATCATAGCTTGATATCATCAGTAGCATGTCAGAACCACAGCATGTGCCTCTTGGTAGAATGCACTAAGAAAACACACTGTCACATTTGTGATATTCCTGCCCAAGATACATAACATGCATCTAGTCATGAGGAAACCTAAAAGAACCTCAAAACTCATAAAATAATTGTCCTATACTCTTCAAAAAAATGTCAAAGCCAGACAAGAAAGGCTAAAGAACCACCCAGATTCAAAGATCCCAAGGGAATAAATGCCATAAGTGATCTTGGATTGGATCCTGGGCCAGATTTTTGTTTTTCTTTTGCTAAAAGAGCAACAGAGAGAAAATTGGTGAAGTTAAACAAATTGTATAGATTAAATGCTACTATAGTATCAATGTTAATTTTCTGGTTTTGATAAACAATCTGGATATGTAGAAGGCTTGTCTTGTGTTTAGGGAATACACACAGAAGCACAGAGAGAAAAGGGGGCATCAGGTTTGCGATTTACCATCAGATGGTTTGGAAGAAAATAACACATGTGAGAGAGAGAGAGAGAGAGAAAAATGAAGCAAATGTAATGCGATGTCAGTATTTGGAGAATCTGGGTGAAAAATGTATTGGAATTCCTTATACTATTTTTGCAACTTTTCTGTTAGCCTAAAATTATTTCAAAAGAAATGGTAGAGATAATGAGAATGAAGAAAAAAATCTTTCTCTCCCCCCTCCATAGAAAAACGTGACTTAAGGAAGTTCAGCCAAAGTGTTAATGGTGTGTATATCTGCATAGTGGGATTATATAGCAATTAAAATATTACATTTGAAATTAGTCTTTATGTTTTTATGTTTTATACATGCTCAGCCATGATTATGTATTTATTTTTATAATATCCATTTACTTGAAATTTAAAAAGCACTCACTAGCAAGGTCTGTGGCCCTGGCCTGCCTGTCAGGCAGGCACCTTGTTGGTGACAGTTGTCTCGTCCTTGTCGCTACTCGGCTATGCATGGACACACCCATCGGGGCTCCACTAGCAGCTGTGATGCTGCCAAAATAGTTCTGAGTTGCACCATGACAGTAAGACAGCTGTAGTCTCAAATGACAGAGTGTCACATGCTTTTCCCCTGAGGCGCTGAGTAGACCGTGTACCAGAAGGAATTCTAAAAATGGCAGTGTTCGTACTCTTTTGTGGGGAAGCACCCTGTCGCTGTCTGGTGGTCCGAGCGTTCCCGAATGACAAACTTGGAGTATGTCTGCATTATTAAAAGTGGTGTTTGATTTTTTTTTTTTTTAAAAGAAAGTTGTTTATTATAGACTTATAAAATATGCCCTCTTAGTCCTTGGAAAGATATTCTTCTTCCTTTAGGCTATTGTTTTTACTTATTTACTAATTTATTTTTTTTTAGAGATGAGATCTCACCTGTCACCCAGGCTGAAGTGCAGTGGCTCGATCATAGCTCACCATAGCTTTGAACTACTGGGCTCAAGCAAGCCTCTTGCCTCAGCCTCCAGAGTAGCTAGGACTACAGGCATATGCCCCCACCTCAGCTAGTTTTTCTTATTTTTTATAGAGAAGGGGTCTCATTATGTTGCCCAGGTTAGTCTCAAACTTTTGGCCTCAAGTGATCTTCCTGCCTTGGCCTCCCCAAAGTGCTGGCATTATAGGCATGAGTCATCTCGTCTGGCCTAGGTTATTGGTTTTAAAATAAATTTTTAAACAGCACTTCTAACAGTGTTGGGCAGAAATAACAGAATCAATAAATACTAGTTTGATTAGTCCATTAAAATAAATGAGTCAAAAAGGTGAGTGACTGGCGTTGAGTAGAAAATGCTTCAATCAGCTTTAAAGTATGGATTATGGAATGGGTTCTACAGCATCTTTGGCCAATTTATTTCATAGTGTTCCAATTCCTGCCAGTTGGAAGTGACAATGGGTAACATCAAAGCATTCCTCTGGCCTCAGGTAGGATACTGCTTCAGGTCAGGATCTCAGAGGGCAGGATGTATAATTTTCTCCAAAACTTCCAGAAAGGGCGTTCACAACTTTATGTCAGCAGACATCCTGAATTTCATCTAAATCAAAATTCAGACCTAATTGATTAAGCTCTTCACATCACAAAACTGAATCTATTATTTACTTGGTTTCAGAGAGAAAGAGTGTGTCACATGTCTAATTGTTCTAGATCCTTCTACTTTCCTTTTGTCATTATGCAAGATCATTCCCTCAATTTGTTCTCAAAGGCTACCACCAAACAGAAAAAATCTTAACTCCTCATTAGAAGAATGAGACTTGGACTTTCTATTAATCCAATTTATGAGCAACCTTTTTGTTTGACTCAATTTAAGATATACTCTTGTGTCAAATGATGTGCTTTTTGGGAAACCCAACCGATTTTCTGACATTTAGAAACTATTTAAGGAAAGAAGATAAAAGCCTTTAGAACAAAATCCTGGAAATTTTTAACTTACCAAATATCAAAAAGGAAATGTGTGGTAGCCTAAATGTATTATTCTGTGTTAAGACCAGGCACTGTTTTTAGATACTTTCCAGAAAATAAATTTAATCATGATGTTAAATTAAATGTAAAAAATATAACAAGATTGGTAAATAGCATTAGTGTCTTAGAATTTTCAAGTGTGTCTCTGCTGTTTGTATCATCATGACTTCCGCATTAGTGGTATTGATAATTCTATTGCCTTTTGGTAATAATAGCTAATACATATAGCTATTTAAGGTGACTGATACATATTAATTCATGTAATCCTTGCAATAACCTTACTAAGTGGGGTACTATTATATCTTTTTTATAGATGAAGAGACAGGCACCCATAGAACCAATTGGCCAAGGTACATAGCTAATTAATGTCAGAGCATAGATTCAAATCCTAAATCCTGACTACAGAGTCTAAGTTTTTTAGCTACTACTTTTTGGTGTGTCTGAATTCTTAGAGGAAAATTGTAATGCCAGACTTTCCCTTCTTGCCTTCCAGCATAATTTATGGGTGGTCTCTCTTTCTCATCCAGTAATGTTTAACCACCAACCTTCTGAAGAGCTCATTTGTAGCATTTGCCAATGTCCATGGTGTAAATATTCCCCCACAGCCAATTTCAAGTTACCAACGTGATGTCACTGACCATGGAGTTGGGAAAATATGTACAGTAGTAGCACACTTTATACAGTATTTGTATCATACAGATACAATAGATGTACCTAACCTCAAGAGCAAGGCCGGGCGTGGTGGCTCACGCCTGTAATCCTAGCTCTCTGGGAGGCCGAGGTGGACGGATTGCTCAAGGTCAGGAGTTTGAAACCAGCCTGAGCAAGAGCAAGACCCCGTCTCTACTATAAATAGAAATTAATTGGCCAACTAATACATATAGAAAAAATGAGCCGGGCATGGTGGCGCATGCCTGTAGTCCCAGCTACTTGGGAGGCTGAGGCAGGAGGATTGCTTGAGCCCAGAAGTTTGAAGTTGCTGTGAGCTAGGCTGACGCCATGGCACTCACTCTAGCCTGGGCAACAAAGCGAGACTCTGTCTCAAAAAAAAGAAAAAAAAAAAAAGAGCACAGAAAATAGTAAAATGTAGTAAAAGAATTAGTAAATGATGAGTTTGGGGGGGGCATTTATTGCCTTTATTTTAAATATAATTTAGTAATTTATAGTTTTAGAATACTAATTATTATTATTTTAGATCTTGAATATTTAGCAATTTGTTTTCAAAAGCTAGTCCTAGCAGATGATTCATTTTCCAGAAGTACTTTTATATGTAAAATTGGGGCAAGGGGGCAAGTAAGGTCTTAGGTTACAGGTGTCTCAATGGTGTCTGACTCTGAGTCCTCCTCCAGACACATTTCTGGGGTTACCAGACTTTCTCTGGGGACAACCACCCAGAGTATGGGTTTGCCTCCTACTGCCCGGAGTCTTGCATCCCGTGTGCCACCTAGTGGTTGCAACTGATTATTGCTACATTCTCAGCTGCTGTCATGTACTCCTGCTTCAGGATTCTTCTCCCAGCTGGGGAACATTCTTTACCCACTAGCACATTCAGCTGCTAATTAGGCTTCCGGCGGGTACTTGGACTCTTTCGTTTACAATCCCTTCTACTAAGGTCTTTAAGATAAACTCCCAGGCATTGGGCCAAAAGGCTTTTGAGTAACAAATTAAGAGATGTTTTGTCCTCCACTGAGATCACCAGTAAGTTGAGAGCATCTCCAGGGTTGGTTGATAAATGCCAACCAGAGTATCCTGTGTTCTAACAAATGTCCCTAAGTTCTTGTCACTGTTTTCTAAGAGGCTTAGATCCTCAGCAAATAGGCCTGTAGGCATTCCATGTTGATATCCCATAGTTGCAAAAAACTGAAGATATATACATGTCTAATTGTTCTAGATCCTTCTACTTTCCTTTTGTCATTATGCAAGATCATTCCCTCAATTTGTTCTCAAAGGCTACTACCAAACAGAAAAAATCTTAACTCCTCATTAGAAGAATGAGACTTGGACTTTCTATTAATCCAATTTATGAGCAACCTTTTTGTTTGACTCAATT